TAAGGTGTTTATATTGTGGAAGCTTTGTGGTGGGAAGAGGGCGCCATGGTTGGCTATTCTTTATTCTTATTTATTTTTAGTATTGTTCTCGTTATCCTTAGGTAGCGCTTCGCCTCTCATTTATGACAAGATGGCCTTTTTAATTTCTGGCACAAGAGAAATAATATAGTTCTGGGAGGAGTTAAATAGAAAGGCAAGGGGAGGGGTCACAACGACCTTTATTCTTAAACATTTCTTACCGTTTCCGCGGTGAAATTAACTGTATATTCGGGGAAACAGAAGAAATGTATGTGGAAACCAGTTAAGTTGGAAATAGTAAAATAACCACAAATCCTGTTTGTAACATGGTAAAACGAATACTTGTGAATGTTTTTCCATGTGCTCGCTCTCTCTGCTTTATAATAACAATGGTGCATATGCTGGGCTTAATAGGACATGACTTTTCCCAGCATGCACTATGAAGAAGCCGAGTTGAAGGTTTGATTGTGAATGCTTAGGACAAGGCTGACATCAGCTTCATTAATCTAGGCAGAGATAGCATTTGGCTGCAAGTCTCACTGAAATGAATATAAAAAACACAGAGGATTTTGCAGTGATGTCGTTTGTTAGATTTTCTCTGATTAATCATTGCTGCTATTTGGGGAATCTCATTTGATGGAGCCAAACAGAGTCTTTGGCCTCCAGGAAGCAGGGCCCGGTGGGGGGAGAAAGGCAAAGAGGTGGGAATATTTAATTGATGTGTTGAATGTGATAGGCTGCCAGCCTCTTGACGTATTCGAGAAGCTGCTTCCTAGCCTTCCCAAATCAAACGCACAGCTAGGCAAAGTGGCAGAGGACCATACCATCTAACTGGGAAGCGATTGACACTTGGAAACAGACTAGGATCAAAATTTAAAATCCAGTTAAATTGGGAGTGTGCAGCCCAAATTCTAAGGACTGCCTATGGTCCCAGCCTCCTCTTTGTATTTATCAAAGCCTCTCAGAACCACACAGTTCACAAATAAAGAGACAATGGACACAATTCAATGAATAGAATGCAGGCTTCCTCATAAAGCCTCTGAGAAGCTGTATTTCAGTTTTCAAATTTATTTTACCAAGCTATTACTTAGCTTGCGATCCATGTGGGAATGGATCATAATCAACTTGACTTTTGAGATTTGTTGTAGTGTTTGGCTTAAAATCCCTTTGTCACGTTATATTTACTATAGCAGCCTTCCCTAATTGCCCTCCACTGGACCAGAAAATAATTCAGTTTTTGGGGAGAAGGAAGAATGTAGCATTTCATATCATCATTCATTGAGTTCCTTGTTGCCTTGGCATAGGTTACAAAATATAGATTGATATCGCCATGACTTCAACCTTGCTCTGCAGCCTGTTACTTCTGCTGGCCTGCAGGCTAGCTTTGACTTTCAGTCACAGTGCTAGGAGCCCAGATAGAGTTTCTGAAGCTGACATCCAAAGACTTCTGCATGGCGTGATGGAACAGTTGGGCATTGCAAGACCCAGAGTTGAATATCCAGCACATCAAGCAATGAATCTCATAGGCCCACAGAATATTGAAGGTAAACATTTATTTCTTTGAATTATTAATGAAATTATTATTTTAAGAATATATTGACATTCTATCCTGATTTTCCCCAACCTTATGCCCTCTGGACTACTACTTCCAGAATTCCCAGCCAGCATAGGAACATCTTTACAGCTGAATTAAATTAAAAATACTTTTATAACGCCCCTTATTTAAATAGTGGGGAATTATATAAAATGCCTTCCTCAGTCTGATGACCTTCAGATTCATTGGACTTAAATGTTCATTATTCCAAGAGAGCATAGCCAACAAACCTGCTGGCTGGGAATTATAAAATAAAAACAATACTGCAATATCTACAGCACTAAAAGGCAAGAAATATATAAAATAAAAAGTTCAAAGCAGCCAGCCTCCAACAAAGTTATTTAAAATACCTGGGCAATCTAATAGATTTTGATGAGCCAAAATGTAATGTAATGTAATTCAAGGTAATATAATATGTTGGCACCAGTTGTGAGCAAGTTTCTTCACAAGCAAAGCATTACAATATAGAGAAGATACTCTCTCTTCTTGTCCAGTACTATGAAACATGTCTTACAGGACATTTCATGAGAACATTAAGGTGATGCATGGATCACTCCAATTTTTATTCTCCTATGTTTTTACAGCTGAATGAGTGCTTGAATTATCCATGGTCAAGGTCACACTCCCTGATTACTGTACTAGACTAATTTTTGAGTGAATCTTGAGTTTCTGAAATACATCTAAATATGTTCATGAAATTCAGGCATGGTTAAATAGAAGCTTTTAAAAATACATTCCAACAGGCTTTCTGGGTAAACGCTGTGTTGTTCTTTGCTTTGACATTAGGTGGCTGATTGACTACTGGATGTACATTTTAGAAATCTGCTTAAAACTGTATTTATACATTTTAGTCAGCAGATGGTGCACTGCCTGTTAAGAATTAGGTGGAAGCCAAATGATTTTATAAGAGTGTAATGGAATAACGTCTAACTTGTTTGCATTCCAAATCAAACTTCTATGTTAACAGCAATTTATCTGCTACTTAACTCAGTTTCTTTGGAAGGTTTCCTTTCATTCCTTTAAAGAACAAAATAAGTGTATTAGTGATGTCAGTGGCCTTATTTCATATTCATATTGCTGTGTAATCTCACTCAGGGTCATTTAGAGATGTATAACTATTGGTATGAAATGAAACTGGGGGTTTGTTAAAATAAAGTATAAATGTTGAAAATGAATTCCTATGCGAGCCTACTTAGCAATAAGCTATATTAAACCTCAGTGAGATTTGCTCCCTATAAGGCTATATTGGATTGTAATATTTAATAGAATGTCCTATGTACAAGATAAAGGAGACAAAATCACCCTCAAACATTTTTCATGCAAAATCCTCATTTATGTCGATTGCATGGTGCCAGTGGAAATCCCAAGCCTGATCTTATGTTCTGCTCTGGAAATGGCAGCAGTACTGTCCCAGAGGCTGCTAAGGAGCCAGAAAATTCAGAAGCAACTTATATTTTAAGGACATAATATTGTAAAGACCATTGTATCTAGTTCAGTATTATAATTCTGACAATATATCGGTTTGATGATGATTAGCTGACAGTGACACTTAGGTGACACTTTCACCATTTATAGAGCTTGCCAATCTGGAAAGCTTGCTAGCAAGGATATTCCTTTTTCTAAAATAAATTGTTTAAGGAATAACAGCAGGTATTTGATATACAGTATCTCAGTTCCTTTCGTCATATAAGGGAGGACCTGCCTTCTGGACCTTTGCAGTCCTGCAACTCTCTCACTCCATGATTAAAAGCAATTACAGTACTTCACTGGGTTTATGGTTGGGCAAGGAAGAAATATACCATTTATTTTTAATAATTCAATTTTAATCTCTGCATTACAGACGTTTTCAAACTTTGTGATGCCACAGCTGTCCACAGTAGGCTTCCCAGGCAAAGCGAATCAGGTTTTGGAAGTGACTCCCTGTGGACTTTGCTTTCTGCTTTGCCTGCATAGCCCTGAGCCTAAAAAATTGGCAATCCTGGGTGGTCATGACCCACATTTTCTGAATCCTTGACTTAAGATGTATAACAAAATAGCAGACTGTCATGGATATCTATGCATCATTAGCTTCACAAATCTTTGGAGCATCGTTTCCATCAATTGTACATATTTTAGAGAAACCTTGGGGAAAATAAATTTTCCAGGACTAAGACAGAAAAAGGGATGAAGTGCATGGTGATTCCAATTACCAAGTCAACATAGATTGCAGGGGTGGGGGTGGGGTATGAGAGAGAAATTGCGACAACTTTAAAACTAATCATTTCCAGCAAGTTTTAGCAATTGCTCCTGTACACAGTTTGGCAGCATGTGCTGAGTTGATATGACTGGAGAATCTGTGGGTGACTAAGGCTAGAATGAACATTCCTTGCAGAACCAACTCTTGGTGCATTAGATTGTTACTCTCTTATGCTATTCTTTCCCAGCTACTATTTCCTGATTTATCAAGAAGGCAATTGTTCACGTGTTGTGATAGAAAGTGTCACATTCCATCTTGCATTATTTTGATTATGGACTTGCAAGGTCCAATAAGCCTAACGTCAAAAATGCAGTACAAGAAGGAATGGGGTGTTTGAATTACTGTCTGTAAGAAAGCAATCAGAGCTTGCTTCTGCCATTCTTCTCCTTCACAAGATAAACAGTTCATGATGTTTTGTAAGGAACATGATTTGCACAATCCATGAAAGCATTCAAGAATACAGAAATGAGACATTAACATCAGGGTTTTTTTTTTACTGTCTTCTGGGAAAAACAGAGACACTGATGTGAAGACTGTGGGATCTTGAACTGAAGGAAGCAATAATGTATACTGGTAGAAAAAAATGACTTTGTGTGTTATCCAGGGAAATGTTGGCAAGCATTTAAAACTTTAACTATATACACACAATAAATAATGGATTTTATATTCCTTTGAAAAGCCTGTGTTTGTGCTTGTTAGAGAGATGTTGTGGGGGCAGAAAACTCTTATTTGTTGGTGCCATGACTAATATAACACAGGGAAGCATTTTTTATAATCCTTTCTTCCATTTTGGAATCAACCTAGAGACAGGCCTGCATTGCAGACTCATACTTGTTTAATTGTGTGTGTGTGTACAGTCATGTAAAAGTAAGCACACTCATTGAAATTTGACTTTTTTAGCATATTTCAACATACAGATATTTGATCTTCATTTCAACAATATTGATACAGGGGATATATTATCACAAACCATTTACTTTTTGTAGTCCATTGTATAATTTAAATAAACATAAATGCAAATGTTTCATATGGAAAAAGTCCACCCTTACATTTATCACTACCTCAAATACCTAAAATTAGAATCAGGTGCACCAAATCAGGTGTAAATGATTAGAACATCTTTAGAGAGGAACTGGGAGGAACCTGCCTTACTGAAACCTCAGACATTTAGTTTGATTTGCTCTTTATAGTTGAATACACACACACACACACACGGGATGGGATGCAATCACAGTCCAAAAAAGGACAGGGCCAATTGGGGAAAAACTTGAATAATAGAATAAAATGAATTGCCTGTAAAATAAGGTGCCCCATTTGTAAAATAATCTGATACACAAGTACACATACATAGACTACAGTCATTTCAACAGAAAAGCAAAAAAGGGAAGAGAAAACAGAATGGAGGTGCAGGGGTAGCTGCACTGGGAAGGGAAAGGAAAAGAAAAATGCAAAAAAAAACTTGGAGGTGATGTGAGGAGAAGGGCAAACTGGATAGGGAAAGAAAGGAAAGTGATGAAGTCCTGTTTAGGCATTACAAAAAGGGTTCACTTCACCAAGCAAACAGCCCTTCTCCAAGCAAAGGCTAATCTTCAGAAATTTCATAAGAAGTTTGTAGATATCTGAACTTCTGCATATTCCCTTGATTTCAGTAGTTTTCTTACCAAGAAATGAAGACAATTCCCCACCATGTACAGGTAATTATTTGGGAGAAAATGTCAGTTAAGATACCTGAGTGACTTAATAAAACAGAAAGATGATATTGCAGGATCGAACCAAGGCCTATTCATTTTAGCATTTTTCCAGTACTTATCCATCATAAACAAGACTCACCCAGGGAAACTGACAGGGTGACTAGCTCAGGCACTTCCCTCAACCCAACCTCCCCCCACAGGTTTGTTGTGGGAAAAAATGAAGGGAGATTTCTATGTAAACCACCTCTTATTCATGGAGAACAAGTAACATATAGCAAAATAATCAAGCATGCCATGAAGATATTTATTCTCAGTGCCTCAGAGTCTGGATACTATCTGTCTAAACTATCTGTGCAAAGGGAAATATAGAATGCAGAATTTATAATTTTAAAGATATTGCTTCACAACTGCCATATATCATTTTTGCCATACTTATATACACCTGCCATTTATTTGTGGCATATGAAAAACACAGATACACAAAAATGTTTTATGTAAAGTTAGCAGTGGACTTAAAAAACATCTGGAATCTTTTCTTATGGTTGTTTTTATGCAATCTCTAAAGCAAATATATAATTTCTGCAAAGCAGAAATCAAGTATTTTAAAATGATACATTTAACTTTGTCTCCTTTCATTATGCTCATATCTCACAACACATAATTACAATTTTGCAGAGTAAATCATGTCATTCAGATGTATTGTATAAAAGGAATATAAACTATATTCCAATTAAAAATCTTCATTCTTATATTGACTAAGAAAACAAATATTTAAACCTGGGACATAAATCTATATTTATTGCCCTGTTTTTTACATGGTTAATAAATAAAGTGGCCAAATACTCCTGCCAAAACAGTGACAGCCTCATACTTGTAGTCACACATAGATACAATGGAGTGTAAATGATTTTCACAATAAGAGGTGAGAACAAGTCTGCTCTGCTATACTGAGTCCCAGTTTCTACCAGATACTATGTATTTGGGTTTGTACTGTATACCTGGCTGCTTTATAGTGGCCAGTGCACACTTTAAAAATTCCATGAAAAAGTTGTTTCCATCCTGCCGACTCCCTGTGTGGTAGAATATTGTAAGCTTGTATACTAGGTCTCACACAGGATTGACCTATGTGGGTACCTCAGCACTTTTCTTGGCATTTTATTTTATGTTGTACCTTCAAGTTAGCGTTGACTCCTGGCGATTGCCTGGACTAGTCCCTGCAGTTTTCTTGGCAAGATTTCTGGAAATGTTTTGCCATTGCCTCCTTCCTAGGGCTGAGAGAGAGTGACTGGCCCAAAGTCACACAGTTGGTTTTGTGCCTAAGACAGGAGTAGAACTCACAGTCTCCCGGTTTCTAGCCTGATGCCTACACCACTACACTAAACTGGCTCTCTGCACCAAATTTGCTTTTGGCATATTGGCACACAATGAGGGTGCGATTTTAATGACTCACTGAAGCCTGTCTGTAAGCACCTGTTCATTAGTTCATCACAAGTTTGTCCTTTGGGCATTAAGTTGTGATCTTAAAATAGATAGAAAAATGTAGCCTAACCCAAATGACTAATTCAGTAGCTGAAAACTTCTTTACACCAATAGTGACAACTTTAGATATACATACTTATATACATACATACATAATCATCACACTATCTCCTTTTGGCATAAGCAATGTTATACAGAGTGCAAAAAGGAATAAATAATAGTAAAAGCAGGAGCTGAGAAAAGCATAGCTAGTTTACACCAAGATCAATCATACCTTTCTATCCTGGTGAACTATCCTTGTTTCCATCACTTCCATCCATCACTTCATACCATGCCTTTGTTCTTTAGACTACTTTAGATTCCCTCATTTTAATAATTATGTTGTTGCTTTCTGCCTTTGCTGACCACGGTCTAATTTTAATTTCAAGTTCATAGTTTAACTGTGGTAACTAACTAGACATAATACATTGTCTTAAGAGAAATGAGTATGGAATGATATTAAGAAGAAGCAGACTGAAGTTTTGTGCTGTGCTTAATTGATCTCTGTTGATGTTAGAAAATGAACATAAGCTTTGACTTAGATGTTTAGTCAAACTCATGAAAAAGATTGTAATTCTGTGTATGTATATAATTCTGTGTTTATTAGGTGGTGCCCATGAAGGTCTGCAGCATTTGGGTCCTTATGGAAATATTCCAAATATTGTAGCTGAGTTGACAGGTGATAATATACCAAAGGATTTCAGTGAAGATCAGGGATATCCGGATCCTCCAAATCCTTGCCCAATTGGAAAAACAGGTAGGTTGCATGGACTCCCTACAGGATTTGGTCCAGTATTCTGCCATTTGTATTGTGTAGTATATGAATTATTTTGGATAGAAGATGGGAAGGATTTGATGTAGCTTTGCACTGAGCAACTAAATCTAAATTATACGATAAAAGTTGTAGGTTTTTTCACCAGAAAAATTACGTGCACAGTTACACAAATTAAAGAATCCAAACTGGCATTTTACTTCTAAGATGCATTTGTTCAAATACTAGCTTTTTTATAGCAAATGAAAAATGGAAGCTGGGGAAGATATAATGAATGGGGGTCATTGGGAATAGGGACAAACAAGGGCTAAGAAATTATGCAGACAAAATGGCTGCACTTATCACCAAATAAAATAAGAAAATTAGTTCAGGGAACCTATTTGATTTAAACAACAGGAAGTAATAGTGGCTGAATTAGATTTCTTCTTGATTTTTAAGTGTAATATAAGTATTTGAAAACTTAATTATGCCAATATTCTAGCACACATAATATTTTATTATACATTTTTGCAGATAATAGGCTTTCAATCTAAAAAGAGACAACAGAGAAACCCGAGTAAAGCATACTGATTATTTCAGCTATAGGCTGTTCAGTTTGGAAATAGGAAAATACCAAGCACAAGGTAAAGCTACATTCATGTTTAGAATGATGTTATCATTTAAGACTGCAAAGATGCCAACATAGATCTTTCTAAGCAAGGTAGGATAAAATTAACCATGGTGTGGTTTCCGAAGCCAATTTTTTTTTCTTATACATTTTATTAAAAGTTTTACAAAGAACATAAAAACTAACACAAACTAATAAATAGTAAAAGGAGCAAAGAAAGAAAAGAAGAAGAAAAAGTGCAGAGAATAAAAAGAAAAAAGAAGCTCCCGATTTCTTTTCCAGCAAATATAAGTACAATTACAAAATTAACTCTTACTCTATTATTACAAAAAAACTCACTTTTTTCCTATTATCCAGTTTTTTTCTAATCATCAAAACCAGAAATCATAAGTGTGTTTTTTTCCATTTCATGCAAAATGTCTATAAGGGGTTTCCAGTCAGCCATAAATGTAGATATTGTTTTTTCTCTAATCAAAGAAGTTAATTTAGCCATCTCTGCAAGTTCCATCATCTTCAGCAGCACCATTGTGGGTAATGTCGAACCTTTTCACTTTTGAGCACATAATTGTCTCACTGTAGTTGTCATATATAAAGACAAAGTTCCATTACTTTTTTCTAATTGCCTGTCCATTAATCACAAAAGAAAAGTCTCTGGTTTGAGTTGTACTTTAACCTTTAAAATCTTCTGAATTAATGTATGTATTTGTATCCAAATTTTTTTGGCTTTTTTACATGTCCACCAAAAATGGTAAAATGTCCCTTCGTGTTCACATTTCCAGTAAAGATTCGAAGTACCTTTATACATTCTATACAATTTCTCTGGTGACAAATACCAATGATAAAACTCTCTTTAAGGCTAGAACATAATGTAAATTTCAGTTCTTTCAACCACATATTTTCCCATTGATCCATTTGTATATTATAGCCAAAATGTTAGCCCATTTTATCATACATTCTTTTGCTTGTTGTTCTATTTCAGCAAAAGTTTATACATTTTAGCAATAACATGGTCATCATTAGTATACAATTCTATTTCAAACTCAGTCTTACTTTGTTCAAAACCATAAACTCTTTTATTCACTTTAAACCTTTTTGATAACTGTACATATGAAAACCATTGACAATAATATCCTTTTGTTTTCAAATATTCTCTTGATTTCATTTTATAATAATCTTGAGAAAATTCTAGTACATCACAGTAAGTTAACCATTTATGTTTACTTATCATTTCTTGTCTATAAAATGCTTCTTGTGCTGAAAGCCACAAAGGTGCTTTTGGGCAAAACCTAAATTTATATTTATTCCATACTCTAAGAGTAGCCGATCTGACATAATGATTTTTAAAATCTACATTCACCTTAGCTTTATCGTACCGTAGCTATCCATGCCATCCAAATCTCAGATTGTGGCCTTCTAAATCCAATAACCTACTATTTCTTAACAACATCCACTCTTTCATCCAAACTAAATAGCAGGCAGCCAAAGCCAGTTTTTAAGATGTTTGAATCACAAGAACTTACCAAAAGTAACATGCCTTTTAAATCAAATTTGCTTCCGGAAAATGTTATGAAAATTGTTGCAAAGGATATTTCCAGGCATACCATTTGTGCTTCTTTTCCTGATGTTCTCCTTTGGACATTTTTCATATACTTTTATAGTCCTAAATCAAGAATTAGCAAGTTTTTCCTGGTGGTGGACGTCATTTTGCATTTTCATACAATGTTATGCAAATGCCCAGAGATTTTGTGAGATTTGGCTACTGCATGAGATTTTGACCATTTAATATTCTTCAGAATGAAGGTGTAACTTGTGCATTACAATGATCCATCCTGATCCTACATATATTTACCTAGAAAAAATATATGCATTATAGATTTAGTTTAGTTTGATAATTGTACATAAGAAAACCATTGACACTTAACCAGAGGTTGAGTCATGTCAACTGGACTTCTTTTCTTTGGGTTTGATACGTTTCACTGCTTGTCCAAGAAGCTGCTTGGACAAGCAGAGAAACGTATCAAACCCAAAGACAAGAAGTCCAGTTGCCCTGACTCAACCTCCGGATAATTCCACCTGGATGACTGAGAATCTTCATCAACACATTGACACTTCAGTCTTGCAAATGCTTTGACTAGATTATGCTCAGAAACAGAAAATAAATGTTATTGATGCTTTAGTGAACATTTCTAAATGACTTTTGTACACATGGTATGGAAGAATATGCACAAGTCTTTTGCAATATGCTGAACAACCACAACAACTGATTGTATAATTTCTTTTCTTAGAAATGGTACCTCAATTTTCTCTTTATTCCATAAATTTTACCATTCTTAATACAATTTTTACTTCACCTTTCTTCAGATGTACTATTTCTCTCATTTTATATATGTGAATAGACCCCATTAGTTATTAAAACATCAGGAATGAAATTACATATCCAGATGATTGATTCTCTTAAAAGAGTGTTTCCATTGTTACCTTGATTTAAATTTAAAACCACCCCTGTTCCATTAACGTGATGTATTCAGATATGAACACTAACAAGGTTCCTGGGAAACTGCTGCTATCTGTAGAAAGCTGCCCTTTTTCCTGGTTACATTCTGAGTGGAGAATCATATATTATTGTAAAATCTAGATCGAGCAGCTTCTAGGGTTTTAAAAATAAACTTCATTCTGTACCCAAGAAGAATCTGTAAAAATGTTAAACTATCTACAAGTGTACTGTGAAATTTTAAGGGCTAGGATGAGCTTTACTTGAAATAAATATTGGCTATATTCAAGCATTTTAAAACCTAAATCATTGCCCAATGCACCAGAACACTGCTGTTGTCTTATTCCTTACCTGAAAAGATAATTTGAATGGTTGGCAAAACTGTTCTGCAACATGTTCTTGTCATGGTGCCCTTCAGATGTGTTAGACAAAAATTCCAGAGATGCCCAACCAGCATTGGAATTCTGACTAAAGATTCAAGTGGATGTAATTTCATATACCTGGAGAACACTAAGTCCAGGAATGTCACTGTAGTCTCTGTAATGTTGCCTGATTTAAAAACCTCTAGTTAATAGCTCCCCAAAATATAGATTTATTTATTTTTCAGTAGAGAGCTCACACTGATTTCTTTAAAAGCTACCCTGCAGTTGAGAAAAGAATGGATGTCTGATTATGCTGGAATAATGTTTTTAGGTACAGAATAGTTGGGATTGTCCTAGCTGTCAGAAAAATGTAATGAAATGAGGCCAGTTGTTGGTCACTTCTGAATCCATTAGCCATTTGTGGAATTTTCCAGTATAGAGTGGAGTTAAGGGTATTTAGCAGGATTATTCTCATAGCTGGTACAGATATGATTTAGTGAATATGTGATCCTTTACCGATGTGGTAAAGAAGATGACCTTGACAGAAATATGCAAGAACCATTACCTAGGCAAAGAGGGCTAAAACATTATTTTAAGTCCAGGGAAGCAAGATAATATTTGCAAGCAAGTCAGACAAAAGCCTTCCTGATTCACTGGGGTATAAGTAGGAGGGGAGGTAAAGTACAATCAGACTTGCAATATTCTGTTGTTATAGCCTATCTCAATCGTGTCTAGCTCTACTCTTTCTGTGAAATTGATTTTATGGTCTGGTCTACCTAATGGAGCTGACAAAGTAAGGTAAGCAATGACATCACTATAAATGAATCTTTCCCAGTTAGCTTGTGCTACAAGTATATACATACCTTTCAATCTTGAGCACATGTTTAGTTAATGGACAAAGTCTGATTTTCTGAACTGAAGGAATCAATCACCTACGTCATTCCTTAAGACTTAAATACTTGCATTATCCCATATGATTATGACTGTTATATCCAATGTGGGCATAAATATTCTGGGTAGAGATGGAGAATCTCTAAATTCACAATTTAGGCTGCAATCAACTATACAACAAAACATTACAGATATTATGTAGCATAGAAATGTTTATAAACATAAGGACAAATATAAATATACATTACTGGGTTAATATACAAGCATCTATTTATTGTGCTTTTTAACCCTCCTATGACCCTATGGAAAAAAATTAATTTTACTTTGTATCTGCTCCAAAGAACTGTGGAAATTATTTAACTTACCCCGAGAGTCCTGTTTTGAAGAAAAAATTATTTTCTCATCTCCCATACTTTTATAATAAAATTCAGTGCACATGTTCCTGGTATATTTTTTAAAATTAAGTTCTGAACATGTAAAACTGATCAGGTTTTCCAAAATGTTTTGTAGTTGATGATGGATGTCTTGAAAACACACCAGACACAGCAGAGTTCAGCAAAGACTACCAACTTCATCAGCATCTTTTTGATCCGGAACATGACTACCCGAGCATAAGTAAATGGGTATGTAAATCTTGTTTATTTTTATAAATCTACAAGTAATTGCTGAATCAATTAAATGTTCTATTATATAACTATTAACAAAATATTTCTATGTCCATATATTTTAATAAACTTTCTCTGAAGGATCTTATTTATGAAAAACAAAAAAACTATACCATAATATATAAATGTGTGTGAATGTGCATGTGTATGTGTATTACAAAAGCAACAGTGTTACAAAAGCAACTTGGGACTGAAAAATAAAGAAGGCAGCATTACAAGGATTGCTGGTGTGGGTCTTCCGGGCTGTGAAAGCCTTCGACAATACATTACAAGGATTGTCCACCTCTGTTACTGGCAGATACAGTGGTTGGTAATGTTTCTTCTCCTTAAAGTCCAAGAGAATGATGCAACAAATACAGCTGATTCTACTTTATATTTACATCACCAGATTTTTACATGATTCTTAAGCATTTTAGGCAGTCAAGAAAAATCTCCCCTCTTTTTTGTATTATGTTTGATTAATGTTGCAATCTTTGGTAAATATACCAGATGTTTAACTCAAATGATTCATTTATGCCAACTCAAATAATTTGTTCTTGTACTACTACTTTGAGAACTATAAAGCACTTGCTGGTGACCACAGATATATCGCTGGGAATTAAAGCATTTCCTGCCAAAGCCCCCTGAATTTCACTGGGATAATTGCTAAACATGTACTTAACTTTGTCATTGAAATCAGTGAGCTGAAGATACTTAATCTTGATTGGAAGATTGCATTACTCATTACCTATGGCATTTATAAACTGTTTTATAATCTAAAGTACTTAGGGCAACTTCTGGTAAAGAAATATAAGAATAATGTAAAAACAAAATAAAAAATAAGATGATAAACATATGATTTATGCTCAACAGAAGCATAAATATAGTAACAAAACAAAACTCAAAGTAAGTTCAGAATTGAAGAGCAAATTTACTTGTTCATTTAGCCTGAGGATTTCCATACTGTAGTAGTGAACTGTTAAAAAGGCCTTGATGAATGAAAACTCTTTATAAGGTATTAAAAATACTTCAAGAACAGCACCAGGTAAACCTCTAGAGGCCACCTTTTTTAATTAATACAGAAATGTTACTCTTTTGAGGGATCCATTTAGTGAGATCAATTGAAAAGGAGCCTTTGAAGAAAATTTTAAGCTTTGAAGGACTGTGTATGTATTACATGTGAGTCTTTTAGGCCATGTAAGACTTCAAAAATCGAAGCAGCACTTTAAATTGGGCCTTTAAATGCAGCTGACAAAACACAATGTTTGGCTTCAGTTCATAGTGTTGCAGCCATGTTTTGAATAATCTGCAGCTTCTGAACTGTTTTAAAGGAGCAACTACATTGCAATAATCTAAATGGGAGGTTACCACAGTATAGTAAGGTCAGAGTTAATGTTAATACAAGGTATTTTAAGCCATAGAGGCCATTTGAGCCTCTAATGACAACAGTGGATGAATCAACTCTCCCAAGCTGCAACTTGGTCTTCTGGTGAGAACAGGTGGAATGCCATTTATAAACTACCAGCCATTACTTCTATCTTACGTGAACAAAACTCATTTTGTTCATTCTTATCTATTTTGTTATTGCATCCAAACTGGTTTTCCATCAGCTACAGGCAGACTAAATCTTGGATGATCTTACAAAGCGTGTTAATTCTAGATGGGATCACCCAAGTCCTTTTGAAAGCAAATAATAGTATTTTGTTTTTCTAACAAAAACAAAAAATGAAAATCAAGTTTGTTTAAGTATCAGTATATAAGGGTCCAGTTCCAGAATACTAAATTAAGAGTTAACAGAGTTAGTTATAGTTGCAGTATATATACTCTGCCTAATGCAAAAAGTTATTTCAGAGCAGTTACTCTAATTTTAACATAAAAACATTGATGCTGATACCATGGGATGTATTCAACAACATTGTTTGTATGTGGAGGCTTGCAAGTGAATCATAAATTTACATGTGTGAGATTTTAGAAAAATTTGGCATTGGAATTGTTTTTTAAAAGTAGGTGAAAACTTTACGATATACTTCATTCCACACTTTCAGGATATAATAATTTAAAATTATTTCAAATAATTAATTTTCATTTGTTATACTGACCTTTTAACAATTATAATTCATCCATCAAACACATTGCCACTTTACTTTGAAAGCAGATTGAACTCAGACAGTATTATGTTTTCTTTTACGTCTATTATTACATTTCATACAGTGGGGCAAAAAAGTATTTAGTCAGCCACCAATTGTGCAAGTTCTCCCACTTAAAAAGATGAGAGAGG